AATTATAATACAAATAAAAATTCAAAGTTATCTTTGATTTCCTGACACACTTTTAATAATATTATATAATATTATATTTTCTGATCAATCAATTTCAAATATTAACAAGTCCAAAAAAATACATCTTTTTAAGGTTAATAGTAGTTTCCCTATAATGTACTAATCCGGACGAGAGTTAAAAACATATGATGAGGTTTTAGAAAAGACAATAGTTTTAACATAATATTTAGTAATGCAGCTTAGAAAATAAAATTATGCAATTTAGTTAAAAAAAATATTTTTAAATTTAAAAGCTCTATTGTAACTAAAAGTTAAAAATACAGTTCTGCCCCATATCTTGAATATCATTTATAAATTAACAAAAATAACAGATATTTTTGTAAATGAAGTAAAAATAGAAAATGTTGTCTATCACATTTTTTAATAAGTATATCATATTATGTAAAATAAAAATTATAATATTTAATCACATGCTGCCCTAGATTAAATAGTTTTGCAAAAATATAATTAGCATTAATATATTCTCATAGTTTAAATAATTTTCTTAGCTATTTAAAAAGCACATTAAACCAAAATCTTAAATACTCATTAAATATTTTCAAATAAGATGAAATCCGAATCTATTCAATACAAATATATTTTACTGTATAATAAAATATAAATCCTTACTAGAATTGTATTATATAATGTATAATCCGTTGATATCTAATAAATATTTTTTATATTATACCTATAGAAATTTATATTATTTGCACAGATAAAATAAATTATTATTTGCGTAAAATTTGATATTATGATCAGGGCTTTCATTTGAAAAAAAAAAAATGTTATACGTTATTTACAATTAAAACATTATACAAATTTTGAGTTTATCGTTATTCAGAATTTAAACGTTATTCAACTTTTGCGTTTATCGTTATTCAAAATTAAAATTTTATTATATTTTATAATTTATTAATTAAATAATTGAAATTATTATTATTTTTTTATTTTTTAATGATATATTATATATAACGTCTTGCGTTATGTTTGGTTTGATAATATATCATACATTTTGTTAATCGTTATATGTTTTGTTTTGTATTATTTAATTATTTATGTTTAACGTTTTCCGTTATAATTACGCTAACAAATTCCAATCATTTTTTTATCAAATATAACGTTATAATCATAACGTTATTATAACGTTAGCAAGCCCTGTATTATGATGAATTATTATAATTTTATTTTTAATCAATATATAATCAATATATATATATAAAATTATTTTCGTACACCTTATGTTACACTTTAGATGTTTATATAAAATATGTTACGTATAACTTATAACTGCATAAAAATAATTAATAATAATAATATTATCTTGTAACATGCAATTTTATTTTACGTGAGACGTGCAGTTCATGCAGAAATAAAAAATAGAAAATCGACATTAAATATAATATACTGTACAGCCTACCAAACTACCAAACGTAATGTGCTCAGAATTTGTTTTTGTATTTTTCATTTAAAAAATTACATCAAAACCTTTATAGACACATATGATAATAGTTGAATTTAAACACTACCACCTGTTCACCTATGATTTAGACTCCTAAAAGCTCAATATATAAATCTACACATTGTGTAACCAAAAATACCACAATCTATTTTAATCTACAGACTAAATGTATTCCAAACTTCGAAAAATTTTATCGAATTTACCAAAAGATTTTAGTAGAAGCGCTACATTATATTTTTAATCATGATGTTTTTATTATTCAAAATAAAAAATGACTTAATCTCCACTAAGATGAAACTGTTATTTTAACATATATATATAAATAAAAATAAAAATATAGAATTATAATGTACATGTTTATTGTAATGAGCATTTAGCTAACGGTAATTTCATTTAAAGAAATATACTATTTTATATTTAAAAATATATACGTTTTTAAATTTTAAGTAATTAAATATTTTTAGGTTTTTGAATGCAACAACCTAAATATAAGTGTGTGATATCGGGATTCAGCGATAATTAAAATAATATTATCATAAGTTATTTTAATAAATTGTTTGATAAATTACAACCACACACAAAATGCTATTGATCCAAAACTCTGTGTCCGTGACACAGACACGCGTGTCAGTGTACTTATAATATATTAATATATATATATATATATATATGTCTATATTAAATAAACAGACGTATATATTTTTCATTTCACGTCGCGCCGTCGCAGAGAATGCATGCTAATTGTGTGGCGCATACCAGTTTACCCGCTCAAGTCCTTTTAGGACGGTCACCTTTCACAAGTGACATTTAAACCTGCAGCATACGGCGGCCAATGTACCGACGTTGTTATAATATTATTATTATTATTATAATGGTGCACCGCGAGCCCGAGAGGGTTATACCCGCCTCTCCCGGCGGCGGTCGAGGCGCATTCATTCGCGTCTTTATATCGTCCGTATGGGGCCGAAACGAAAGAAATTAACAATCATTCCGTCGTATAATATTATATTATAGCTGTTTAAGCGCATACCGCCGCCGCCACGGGCTGTCCGACGAAAACACGTTGACAGCCATCACGGCTAAAACGCTTTTCGATGATTTTTTTTTCACCTTCCTCATACAATTAATACTAATGTATACACACTGTGCATAATAATTCGAAACACGCGATTTTCATCTCGGCCAAACACATTTTATTTGATCACTGTTTGAATACTATAAGCCTATACCTATATAAATACACGTATTGTGTTACTGTATTAATTCGCGTGGCGATGATAAAAATGATTTACTGGAAAAATAACATAACACATTACAAGTATATATAGCATTAACTTCTTTCGATAATAAAAAAAAATTCAGCATACCTCGATGTTTTAATATCTAGTATAATGAAAAAAAATGATTTTTCTACAAAAATCAAATTCGTTTGATTTATGAAAACTATGAAGTTTTGGTACAAATCTGACTTAAAATAATAATATAAATTATTATCTTACGAGTTTTGGTCAGTACCTACCATCCTGTTTACTGGATTTACATTAACATATTATACCACTTTATACGTTATTTGCTCAAATTCAAATAATTAAAAATCCTTAGTACTGTATCAGAAAACGTAAAATTATTACATAGAATTTAAATTGACTTATTACTACAAAGTAGGCGATTTATGATGGTTTGGAAGCGATCAATCCATTTACAAAATGCCATTTTATTATAGGCGAAACATCAAACATTCATTATGGGAAATTTATGATATAGATATATCATATTAAAATTATGTTTATTTCGATAATGCTAGAAAAATTAATAGAATACGATTTTCAATATTATTTCACGCATTGACAACATATATACTCTAATAGTTAATAGGCAAAGACAACGAATAGAATATTATTGAACGAAACTCTTTGTTTACGCATGTAATTAAAATGTTTTATCTATTGTACATCAATGATTTACCTATACTCGTTCCTACTTCAAATTAAGCGTATAATATAATGTAATATAGTGGCAGAAGGTAACAATTTCACGTGTAATATACGTAGACGTATACGTCATGCTAATGATAGTTAAAGAATTGTTTCTGGAACATACCCACTTGTAATTCTAACAGACTTAAAACGATTACGCAATATAGAATCTATATAGTTAATAAATCGAAATACCAAAGTCTTTTGGAATATTAACACAGGTAAGGATAATAGAGGTGATCTATATTTTATTGAACATTCAAACCTGTTTTTAATCAAAAAATATTATTTATTATACATAATGTAATCATTTTTTATTTTATTATAATATGCCAATGATTTACAACTCAATGTATTCTCCAATTTCATTATATATGTTTTATCAGAACTTAAATGTCTACTTACTATATATGCATTACATTCTCAAAATATATTTTTTACAGGTTAGGTACCCAATTGATTCACGCGAACGTTAAAATATAAAAACCATCACTTATAATATTTAATTATATATTACATCACTCAAATGATTTAATGTAATTTTACATTTGGATATGCTCTTGTATTTTATGCGTTCATTAGATGGGTCGTTCGATGTTAAGCATTATGAACAGTTGTAGTTCATAAACGAATAAACAATATTATACTAATATCATTTGTCCGTGGTATAATGCAACCCACGTATTAATTCAATGCGTTTGCATACCGAATTACATTTTTGTATAATTAACAATTTCATGATAGGAGTATAGTATTTAAAATTTTATCCACATATGCTTATGGAAAAATTGAGGAACCAATAGAAAGAGAACGTAAATAAAACGAGTTTTTAATCATAAATCATTTCTACGCGTATTACATTATTATAAATATAAAATAAATTTATATGAAAACCATTTAAAGGGAAAGTACCTGGATAGGGAAGGTGAAATAATCCAACTTAATAACCACGTAAATGATTGTCAATAAAATAATAATATGTCGAATTATCAAATACACGATGGCTTTTATCGAGAACCATTAGAATACTAAGTACTCATGGAGTTGTTTTATTATTATAGTAGATATGCACCTACGTACGATTTATTAACGATTCAATAAAAATACCGGTTTTAATCAAATTGAAAAAAAATTGCGTGTAACATTTACGAATGTATGTGTCATGTGTGATATCTGCATTTTTTCATATAAAAAAGAAGACATGACAAATCAATACAGCCAACAGGTGTTATATTTGAACAGATCATAAATCGCGATCATTGAACGCTATCGATAAACCGCATTATCAATCGTATGAGTAGTATACGTCTTAAAAGTCATAAGCAATCGTTTTAAATGATGCGGAAAAAATTCTTATAGCTACCGGGTCCCTCTATATCCGGACGAGCTTACAAAGCACCCACATTAAACTGTTTACCGAACAGAGCACGATTTTTTCCCTATATACAACACGACCATATTCAATATTGCGGTGTAAAATGACCGTTGTCCTAACTGCAAGTATTCGGGTAAAACGAACTTACCTGGAGTGTTGGTCTGTTGTTCGGTTCCGTCGCGGCCGAACGGCGCTCTTTCCAGTTGTGACGTGACGATGGTTACCGCACTGGTAGCGGCGGCCGAGGACGAAGAAGAGAGCGAGGAGGACGAGGAGGAAGAGGAGAACGACGACGACGGTAGAGACGACAAAGAAGAAGAAGAACGCAGGGAAGAGGACGAGGAGACGGCGGATTCGCGTGGTTCGGCGGCGGACATCGCGAGCGTTACGGCTGCGGCGACTACAACAACGACAATACGTATAGACCACGACCAATTGTATCGGTTACGTGTCTTCCACATACTTCCCACAAACGCTCAGGTCGGCGGCGGCGTCGTTACACACGCGACTGGCGGCCAACAACAACTCATCGGGCGGCCGATAGCGTCCACGGCGGTAATTGCACTGGCATCATATACGAGACTATACGGGAAGCCTGCAGACGATTGTGTCGCCGCAGTCGCCGTTTCGGTTGCAGCCGCAGTTGCAGTTGCAGTTGTCTCTGCGGGGTAATATCGTCTCGTTGTCGTCGTCGTCGTCGTCTGGCGGTGGTGATGGTGGCGGTGGTGGTGGTGGTGGTGGTGCACGCTTGACACGTTTGTACGAGTGTGACGCCGAATGTTTTTTATTATTTTTGTCGTCGTTTGTCGTGTTGCTGTCCTGTCGTGTACGACACTATACGGAGTACCAGCTAATCGTCCAGCTAATGTGCCGGGTGGTAAACGGGTCGTCTGCCGCGGACAGTGATCGCGACATCGCCACGGACGCCACTGCCGCCGCCGCCGCCGCCGTCGTCGCCACCGGCGACGATTTTTTTTTCCCCGTCACCGGTGTCGCGGTCGTTTAATACTACGATGATATTATGACAAAGTCCCGTACGACTTTATATATTATTGTATATCACACGCGCTCGTCGTGTTCGATAAATTACCTCGGTACGCTTTTACCTCGGTCGTTATGATATTATAGTGGTGCAAACGTATTACAGTTGTAGTAGTAGTATAATGGTCGTAGCAGCAGCAGCAAAATAGTAGTGTGACAGTAGAAGTAGTGGTATTTATATAGTAGTAGTAATAATGGTAGTAGTAGAAATAGTAGTTGTAGTGACAGTATTAGTCTCGGCGGTATTACTACTAAATTATTTAGAACTTTCGCCGGTAAACGAATGAAATGTATAAATTTAAAAAAAAAAAATTTTAAAAAATTACGTTCGATGAAACAAAATTCGCGTTCCGTCTGTAGAAAAAAAACGGAGCAACAATAATAATATATAATATAATATTGTCGTTAATTATTGTGTACGTCGCCCGCGTGATCGGGGGGGAACACGCCCGGCAGATATCGTATGCGAACGCGTGTAAGACGTCCGACGGTCGGCGGACACTGTATAAAACACACGCGCGCACCGCAGCACACCAGTGTGCCGGCCGGTCGCTGCCGTCGCCGCCGCCGTCGTGTGGCCGGTGTGCCGCGCATGCGTAACCGGCGCGCACCACGTGTCCGACACCTATGCAGACAAGGTTCAATTTTTAGCGCTGCCGGTGGTCCCTCGGCCGGCCCGTGGGTTTCTCGTACGCGCCGAAGACGGCGGCGTCGACTTCTTCGACGGCACACGCCACCAACGCCACCGCGTTTGTCGTGCGTATTTCATATACATACTTGACTTGTGCACCGGTCATTAAAATATTATTATTATAATTATAACGATTATCAACCACCATCGTCGTTAAGCGTTAGAAAAGGCGTTTTTTATTTTTTTGTTTCTCCACTTGTTATCGCCACCGTCGTCGCTGCGAAATAAACTCGTTTATATATATATATATTAATATGTGTGTGTACTTATTACAGCAAAAAATGTCATCTTATATATTTCACTCTCGACTAGTGAAAAAACCTATACTGCGCTGATACTTTTTGTTGGTGTGCTCGAACAGTTGGGCGCATTGGCTTTGACGCACAACCGCAAGACGTGTACATAGGTATATTAGTCATCGACGGCGGTGGTTTTTAAATTTCTAAAATTAACGCATCTTGTATTATATGACATTGACCACCGTCGTCTAAATTTTATCACACAAAAATAAAATTTTGTTCCTTATTGCGAAGAAAATTAGCACCTGAAATATTAGTAAATTATACGTACACACCGGCAGGTATTTTGTTAGAACAGCGAAATTAAAAAAAGTCAAAATGCTTTAATCTTTCAACTATTTGAAATAAAGTCGGATGATTATAAGTTTGATTATAATGTCAAATAATTTATAGGTCTTCATGTCCCAGTATATGTGTGTAATAGTGGCGTCGTATCCCCGGGATGATTCATCTGTTTTTGGAGTGGGCTAAACATAGAAAATAATAATTAAAAATCGTTACAAATTTATTTTCATTATAAATTACCATAGTAGGTGCACATATGAAATAAATAAATGGCATATAATTGTGTACTTAGGTAATATCACAAACATAAATAGAACACCGTATAAATGTATGATGTTACATAAATGTGTGATAGGTTAAATTAAATGAATTATTTTTATTTTCTATACCACTACAAAAATGTTTTATATAAATTTGTCCGATCTAATTGTACATTTTTTCAGGGTCTTTTTTAAGTAATAATTTATATGCAATATAAAATTATACAATATTATCTATTATTTAATGTAATATAATCATTATATCAAAAACAATAAACATTTTTTTTTTTTTTATGCCATTTGAATGCAAAATAGTTTACATTTTTCTCATATTTTACAATAGCCAAGTATCTAACTCCCCCCCCCCCCCCCCCCCCCCCCCCCCAAAAAAAAAGTATGCTACTATGTGAGTATAAATAATATCATAATATAATGTTATACATATAAGTAGGTACTCATACTTTCGATCTCCGAAACATTTCATATAAATCCTAAAGATAAATAACGCCAATTATACGCATATTAAGTGGGGACATATCTCCAAAAATAAGGCGGGAAAGTGTACGTCTTAAAAAGAACACATATCATAGTTATTGTACCGATATAGTATGTATACCGACTGATGAACACAATAGTTTTATAATAAATAGGCTCCTATAACACTAATATTAATGTAAAAGTGCATTTAATATTTTTAAAAGAATTTAGAAAAAATAGTTCAGTGACACTATTAACATACATACTTGATACTTAAATATATATTTATTATAATAAAGTATATTAAATATTAATTTTTATAAATATACGTACTTTTACAAGTATACAGAGATAGTACATATTATTGAATACCATAAACAATATACCGGATATTGGTTAGTAAATTTCTAACTCATTACATTTATTTAATATATATCTACCTATACTATAATAAAATGTTCGCAGTCGATACATTACAGTTAAACTCTAATTGATGTAGTTCATTATATTATATACTACATAAATCGTGTTAATGTTTTCACGAACTTGCTTTTTTAGTTTTTTAAGTTCTTTTTGCATAGAAAAAAATTAATTAACCGATCAATTTAGTATACGTATATAATATGGTTTCAATATACATTATTATTATTATAGGTGTATATCACGAATATTTCCACTTATTTTTGCACAATATGTGCAATCAATAGGTTAACGTATCACATTTAAATATATATATAAGTACTTTAGAATGTACCTTATATAGTACATATGTAAGCTATTTTCGTCATCCAATTAGTTCTGAAATCCTATTTATTTCTATGTTTAAACTATAAACATATAAATAACAAAAGCGCCTTTTAATAAACTTAATAAAATATTATATATAAGTATACAAAAACATGTATAATACATACCTACATAACCCGTCATCAGGAGAACTTTTTTAGGCGTGAGCCGTTCAGCGCGATAGGGCGTTTCATAATTTCAACGTTGTCGATTTTTTTTTTTATAGCTAACCGTTTGGCAATATAATATTCAATTTCGGTACACAATAAACGCGTGTCGATTAATATATTCGCTTTCGCTCTGTACAACAGTTATAATAAAAATGGCTAGTTTTGCATTACTGGTTTTATTTTCGTTATCTTATCGCTATTCGTTCGTGACATATTATATGGTGGTGACCAGTTCTAATCAGATGTAGAAGTCGATAAATTACGTCTAAGGTGACGAAAATTTGCGGACGTAAATATTAGCATTCGTGCACGATAGTTATACATACTATAATATATATTATTATGATAATTTAAATTTAGCATGCACTTAATAGTCAAGGTTTTATATAATTTACAAATTTGTTAGAAAAAAAAATTATTTTTATGTAATCATAGCTCAAAAACAAAAAAAAAAAATCAAAATAGACGTTGAAATTACTTCTTTGAAAAAAAAAATGAATTAAATGAATAGCTACGGTATCATGTCTATGTCTACTACACGGTTTTAATATATTTTATATGATTTATAAATAGCTAAAACAATTAAAATATATATTTAAAATTTTAATGACTGTTTTATTTTTGTATATTGTTCAATCGTTTATTTACTACATCTATGAATTATTTGAGTAAATTAAATTTTAAGTAATACTAGGAAATATGTACACACATAAGTAATTGATTAGTGATAACTATAATATGAACACACTATAATCTAATTGTCTATCCATGACAAAATATTGTTATGATTTCAAATATTTTTTTCGTGGTGTTATCAAATATAACTCTAAACATACCTACCACATGTATGTACTTGGAACACTTATATACACATACGTTGTTTATGGTTATTGGTTATGGCTACCATAAGTTTTAGATTATCTATCGAAGATTTCTGATTTCCGTGCGTGTTTTAGTATATAACTTTATGTTTTTGGTCGTACGTTATATGCTATCAGTAATGTAACTGAATAAAATTCAATAGCATGTATTTATTATTTTATGAAATAACTAGTTGTATAACCTAACTTGGTCCCATAAAATACAACACTATATCGGTGTATATCCTTTTTAGTGTATCTCAGTTCACGAGAAAATTGGCACGATACATGTCGCTTTATGAACTAATTTGACAGAAATGAGCATCTGTCTGTGGCTTATTGGATACAATACTTTATATATTTTTGAACGTGAATCAAGCTACACTTAAAACTTTTCATATATGTTTAAGAACACTGAACAATTTCTGACATTTTCGTCAATATCGGTCAAGTGATTTTTGAGTCTATAATCTATAAACGTATATATAATAATTAATAACCAATACTTACCTAATATAATATAAACAGTTAGTAATTGGTATTTGGTACGAGTTTAAAGTTTCTAGTAATGTATATTTTTAAAATATAACAAGATAGCCAAAATAATATATTTTACATAAAAGGAAAATAATAAATAATTCATAAATTTATCACAGTTTTTTCTCGCGTATTATTTTAAATAGTAAGAATTATTAAACAAAGGATTACACATTAATACATTATATATTAGGCATACTAGGGGAACATATAAACTATACATAAATACTATGTATAGACATATTTAAATTATTATCGATATGAAATTTTTTGAAGAAATTATTGGCATTCAGTAAATAGGTCATACAATTATTTAACTTATAAATGAACTGTTTTATAGTAAAAGTTTTAGGATTATTATTATTTAAAATTTATAATTAGATAAAAATATTCCATGCGACATACAATTTAATATTTATCAAAAGTCAACTTCATCAAAAGAACTAATTTCGCCTGAATCCGTATTAATAATATAGCTCGTATGCGCGTCCACGTAGTATTTTTAATAAAAATTGTTCAATAATTACATAATATATATATATATATATATATTTATTTATATTAAAATTAAATACTATGCCAATTACCAAGTACTAACTACTTTAATGGCAATTGAAACAAAGTATACAGATTTAAACTTGTCAGACTCGTCTTTTATAATAAATATAATATACCACAAACCAAAATAACATGACTGGTATAAATATAAATCATGGGTTATATTCAATTTTATTATCCACGGAAAATAACAAAACGATTAGAAAATTCAATAAAAATACATCGTCTTGGTTGCAATAATAAATTATAAACTCGGAGAATCATTTATATGAACGTTCGAGTCCACAAATTACGACCATGGTTCGAAATTTTAACGTACAAACGAAGTTTAAATAAGGTTATATTATGTTAAGGTAGTATTGCACAACTATATATTTTAATGAACGTCCATTATTACAGTGGCTTCATGAAAAATTTATACTGAAACGAAAAAGAGTAGACATTTTCTGGTTATCAGATTTTGAGCGTATATAATATAAATAGAAAAATATTATCTGATATATTATGTGGTAAAACAAATCCATCAAATACGTAAAAACATAGAACGTATATTATAGACATTGGA